AAAGGTTCACATCAACATTGTGGTCATTGGCCATGTCGACTCTGGTAAATCAACTACCACTGGACACTTGATTTACAAGCTTGGAGGAATTGACAAGCGTGTGATCGAGAGATTTGAGAAGGAAGCTGCTGAGATGAACAAGAGATCATTCAAGTATGCTTGGGTGCTCGACAAGCTCAAGGCCGAGCGTGAGCGTGGTATCACCATTGATATTGCCTTGTGGAAGTTCGAGACCACCAAATACTACTGCACCGTCATTGATGCTCCTGGACATCGTGACTTTATCAAGAACATGATTACTGGAACCTCCCAGGCTGACTGTGCTGTCCTCATCATCGATTCCACCACCGGTGGTTTTGAAGCTGGTATCTCCAAGGATGGCCAAACCCGTGAACATGCTCTCCTTGCCTTCACCCTTGGTGTGAGGCAAATGATTTGCTGCTGTAACAAGGTATATTGGTTATTCCAGGCTGCTGTTAGTATATTGCCTTGTTGTTTGTTGATTTTCGACTTAACTCATTATATTCTTTGATGACAGATGGACGCCACCACCCCCAAGTACTCCAAAGCTAGGTATGATGAAATTGTTAAGGAAGTCTCTTCTTACCTGAAGAAGGTGGGATACAACCCTGACAAGATTCCTTTTGTCCCCATCTCTGGATTTGAGGGAGACAACATGATCGAGAGGTCTACCAACCTCGACTGGTACAAGGGCCCAACATTGCTCGATGCCCTGGACATGATTAATGAGCCCAAGAGACCATCTGACAAGCCCCTCCGTCTCCCACTTCAGGACGTGTACAAGATTGGTGGTATCGGAACTGTCCCTGTCGGTCGTGTTGAGACCGGTGTCCTTAAGCCTGGTATGGTGGTCACTTTTGGTCCCACTGGGTTGACTACTGAAGTGAAGTCCGTGGAGATGCACCATGAGGCTCTCCAGGAGGCCCTTCCGGGTGACAACGTCGGGTTTAACGTGAAGAACGTTGCTGTCAAGGATCTCAAGCGTGGGTTCGTTGCATCCAACTCGAAGGATGATCCTGCGAAGGAAGCAGCCAGCTTTTCATCCCAAGTTATCATCATGAACCACCCTGGCCAGATCGGAAATGGTTATGCCCCTGTTCTTGACTGCCACACCTCCCACATTGCTGTCAAGTTTGCCGAGCTTTTGACCAAGATCGACAGGCGATCCGGCAAGGAGCTTGAGAAGGAGCCGAAGTTCTTGAAGAATGGTGATTCTGGGATGGTGAAGATGATTCCCACCAAGCCCATGGTTGTCGAGACTTTCTCTGAGTATCCTCCACTCGGTCGTTTTGCCGTGAGGGACATGCGCCAGACTGTCGCTGTCGGCGTCATCAAGAGTGTCGACAAGAAGGATCCCTCCGGTGCCAAGGTCACAAAGTCTGCTGCCAAGAAGGGTGGCAAGTGAATCGTGCGTTTGAGATTTGACATCGCATCACATGGAAGTCATTGCAATAAGGCGTTGGCCATTGTCAGCAGTTTGTCTATTATTGGTCATTTAGGGGTTTGGTGCGCTGGTTATCATCTCGTGCTCCTGTCCTCATCAAGCACGTGGTTGCAGAACTGGGTGCTCGATAGGCGGTGGCAGACTGGCGTCACCAGCTCGAGTCAATTTTTGAGTCTTGTGTTTTTGGACTGGCACTTATAATGTGCTGTACTGTCTCTTCAAGTGTTCTTTTCTGTACCTGCTGACAGTCTACTATTGGTTCTTTTTCAATGCCGTTCAGGCCCTTGTGTGCCCCCTTTGCATACTATTATCATCTGGTCTTGCCGTCGAAAAAGCAATTCGGCACCCGCAAGCCTGAGACCCCGTCAGTATGGAGCATTGATTTCTGCATGAGTTGAACATCTCATCACTGTGTTTTTGAATTTTGTGTGTGGGGGAAAAATAAAAGCATCTGAACAATGCGTAATCACGTCTAGGGTGACGACCGATTGAAGTTGACTGTAAGTAGTAATGAGAATTGATTTGTTCTCCCAATGCATACTACATTAACATTTTTACCTATTAGAAAAAATGTGGTGCATGTATATGACAACACTACTGTGGACTTAGATTATACACGCAAAAAGTGTTATTGACGAAATGTCAATGCAGAAGCGTCTTGATTTATATATATTGCAAGGCCACCGGCAATGAGTTAATATAATCATCCTAAAATCGAATGGGACTTGAGATTTTCGGCTACACAACCTAGTAGTTCTCAAATCAAAGCATTCCATGAAAATTTCAATAAATTCGAGTGGAGGTATGAAATACAAAGTTCCTCGAGCTGTAAGGACGCTTGCACTCGAATTTGTCATAATTTTACTTGACGGGAGTTTATTACATTTCTTGGAATTATTAGGTGCTTGAAGAGCACATTAAGGTGTCCATGTTATAAACTAATTGTTCCCGAGACAGTAATGTTGTCCGATAACACACGGCCATTCTCTCAGCCTTTTCGAAGGTACTTCTTGTTAGTCTCTAGAGCATTTAGGCCTCGAAACTTTATGATCTGCTGGATCCATGGAGTGATAAGCGGAAAGCACACTTGCAAAACCGGCTGAACATTTCTAACCAACACCCTTAACTCTAAACTTCTAAGAGGAAGAAGGAACAGTGTTTAGAAGGTCAAGAGACAATCGCATATAAAAGAGAGATTTTCGAAACGTTGATCTTAAATTAAAGTTCCTATAGAAGTTACCCTATAAAATATAGGCGGAGCCAAGGATAATCCCGTAACAACACAAAGCACACTAGGACAATAATCCAGGCCTACTAGAACCACTAGGCATAAAAAGATCGCACGTATTCCTGTAAGATGCCTTCTTCTTCTTCTTCTTTTTCGGACGGGAGGTCAATAATGAAACATATAATTATAACAACTATTAAAAAAAAAAAAGTCAGTCCATATAGAGAATCCTCGAATAATCACATGAGAGCGGCCGCTGAAGAAGCTTTTGATTCGATCACATCGGGTGATCATGTTCGCTCCTTTCGCCGCCGCTAGAATCCTCCACAAAAGTCCCTCCAAGTCAACCAATGGCGATGGGGGCCGAGTGGGTCCCAACACCGACTTTAAAATAAGTATATTTTTTTCCCTTTAAAGTGCTCCACGTGTCAACCAACGGAGGGACCGAGGGAGTCGGTTCGTAGTCCTTTTCCAACCGCCGACACTAAATTCTTGTCTTTTTCCTTCTTCTTCTTTTTTTTTCCGCTGTTATTATCATTAGATACGATGCCGTTTTGTTATGTACTGACATTGACACGATATGGTCCATCCGAGAGCATGACTTAGATCTTTTGACATTAGATCTAACCCGTTGTGTTCATATAACTAAACCCTCAGTAGAAAATTTATGTTCCTACGCTTAATTTTAACTTAGATACGACGCGACGCATGCTACTAATAATTCTTTTTATGCATCGTCCGAGAACGTGCAATTGAAATCAGCTCTTGATCGATGAAGTTGGATCCAATGATGTCAGCTCGCTCGATGCCATTAATACAAGTTTGGATCGATTGAACTTATACAAGTCGAAACTGAAAGTGTGGTCCGTTTGAAGAAAAAAATATCACTAGATTTTATTATCCCCATCTTTAAAGAAAAAAGATGGATTGCAACCGACACGACGAAGATTGCGAAAACGCCATTTGTTTGATCTTGAGCGGGAAAGGAAAATGGCACGGAACGTAAAAGAAATTCAAAGTGCTAGTACTATGAAAGAAAAAGTTGTAAGAAATTAAGTTTTGCAAGGAAACTAAAGATAAAAAAAAAAGCGTGCCTTCATTGATTGAGTGAGTGTTAGTCACAAAGATCACATCGTGGGTTTTCGTATCCCATTAACATCTGTTCGTGACCAAAAAAAACCATCAGTTATTACATACGGTTAGGGATTTTGAATCTATAAACAACTTTATAAGCTTATTTGCAGTTACAAGCACCAACACGATTGCAATGATTGTCTATAAATAAGTTTCGACCGATGTGTATCGCGTGCTTTTGCGAGTTCATTAATTGCACTATCTCAACACTTAACCATACTAATGGGAATATTTATTGTTGATGACCTTATCGATCAACTTCTCTCGAGCCTCGATGCAGGCTTTCTCCGATGATTTTCGCGCTCCGAATTGTCGATTTCCTTCGCCGTCGACAAGCTTGCAGTTCGTCGATCATCCTATTCGCCGATGGCTTCTGTTCTGACCAAATTCTGTTCTTACCGACCGAATCCAACACTCGTCGATAACCAAGAGGTGGTCATTTTCGGGCGTTCGACATTTGTGCATAACTTATACTAATTCGGCTACTTCCAACTTGCCTATTACACATGCTACACGACTCAACTCTAGCATTATTACTTTGATACAACTGGCTCTTTTTTGTACATGAATATTCCCTAGCTGCTATGGTCCATTTATGGTTACAGTTTCCCGCGAACGCAATTGATAAATAATTCCAACTCGTTACATAAGGCGGATATTGTGTCACCGTTCGATCTTCTCCAATTTCAGCATATTTTGGAAAAAGCATTTTGATTATGTTATGTGTTGCATCCCACATCTGAATTGTCAATACTTTTTCTCTTTGCGTAATGCTCCTTTTTATCTAAAATAAAATCGTATCTCGGATTTTTTAATTGGAAAGGATGGTGGAAGAAGAGCATCTCCACATAGATAGATGCATGATTATTATTATTATTATTATTATTATTATTATTATTGGTCAGAAGATGCACAATTATTTTAATCGCTGCATTATTGTGCCGCTTTTCCGATTCCTTGCCGCGCAAGAAAAATTTTCGGAGCAAATAAAAAAAAATTTCGATTCGAGAAAATATTCACCTGCCAATTATAATTATTTAATTACCATCCAAATGAGACGGCTCCCTTTCCGGGGGGCAATATCGGGATTACGCATCCTAAGCGAGGGCAATAGCGGAATCCGGAAATATTGCGTGGGGAGCGATATAAAAACCCCCGCCCCTCAAACCCTACCGCCCTCCCTCCACCCCCCCCATTCATTTTCGTTCGCTGGTTCTTGCGAGATTCTCTCGGCCGCCGAGATTTCTAAGGTGAGTGCTCGATGGAATCGCCTTCGTCTTCATCTGCTTCATCGCTCCGCGTGTTCTTCGTTCGTGTGATCGATCGGCGTTGGTGTTGTTTGTTCGTTTGCTTTGCTTGAACTGATGTGGCTGGGCTCTGCGAGTGCGCGATGTTGGCCTTTTCGAGCGTGCTCTTTCTTTTTGGCTCGGATTCGTTCCCGCGCCTGCCGTCTGATCGATCGGTGTGGCGGGAGTCTCGTTTCCCGATGGTGGAGCGTGAATCGTGTGAACTGGTTTGTTTCTGGTTCGTGATGTGATTGTGTCCGGTGAAATCGGATGATTGTCGCCGGCTTCCGATTCTAGTCGATCGCTCCTGCTCGAACTTTGCGAATCTAGCCGTGTGCGATTGCTGTGGATTTGACGGCGTTGTTACTTGCTTCTCTCTTTTTGTTTTTGTTTTTTGTTTTTTATTTAAGTGCGTATGTTTCGGGCTGTGCGATCTGGTTTCCCTATAGTTTCCTCTCTGTGTGCGTGTGAATCGATTATAGCACTAGCAGTGCACGCTAAGTTGGTGTATGGTGAGTTGACGGCCGCTTTCGCTAGTCGGGATTTCGCGGTGATTTCATTTTTGTAGTCCAGCAGTTCTTGTGCTGCAATCGGTTCTTGATGAATGGGAATGGGGTGCCGACCTGTAAACAGACAGTTTGTTGGGATATGTTCCCTAATACGTTCTGAATTATCTTATTTGAAATATGCTTCACTGTGCCGGTGATGGAGGCGACGTCATGATGTTTTACTTTATTCCATGTCATTGTCAATGATGATGCGTGGATTTCAGTAGCATAGCATTTCGCCCTGTTTACTCCCCATTTTTGTATTTCCTTTTGCTGATTTGGTTATATTGTGGGAGGCTATAATCTCTTGTCAATTTTGTTTAAATTCTGAACTAGGAGTCATGGAAAATAGGGTGTGCAGAAATTTCAATTGACCATATGGATGTTGATATGTCGGGCTGAATTGGCCATCTTAGAAATACATAGATTTTCTTTATTACAGATCTTGACAAGCGATGTATACTTGAATTTATATTGCGTCCATTTTATCTCCTCTTTACCTGTCATCCAATTTCTCTCCAATCTAAGAATCGTTTTTCTTCCTTTTCGCAGCTTTAAGCCTCGTCTCTCGAAATGGGTAAGGAAAAGGTTCACATCAACATCGTGGTCATTGGCCATGTCGACTCTGGTAAATCGACTACCACTGGACACTTGATTTACAAGCTTGGAGGAATTGACAAGCGTGTGATCGAGAGATTTGAGAAGGAAGCTGCTGAGATGAACAAGAGATCATTCAAGTACGCCTGGGTGCTCGACAAGCTCAAGGCTGAGCGTGAGCGTGGTATTACCATTGATATTGCCTTGTGGAAGTTCGAGACCACCAAATACTACTGCACCGTCATTGATGCTCCCGGACATCGTGACTTTATCAAGAACATGATTACTGGAACCTCCCAGGCTGACTGTGCTGTCCTCATCATTGATTCCACCACCGGTGGTTTTGAAGCTGGTATCTCCAAGGATGGCCAAACCCGTGAACATGCTCTCCTCGCCTTCACACTCGGTGTGAGGCAAATGATTTGCTGCTGTAACAAGGTATATTGGTTATTCCAGGCAGCTGTTAGTATATTGTTCTGTGTGTGTTGATTTAGAATTAACTTATTTTTCTTTGATGACAGATGGACGCCACCACCCCCAAGTACTCCAAGGCTAGGTATGATGAAATTGTTAAGGAAGTCTCTTCTTACCTGAAGAAGGTGGGATACAACCCTGACAAGATTCCTTTTGTCCCCATCTCCGGATTTGAGGGAGACAACATGATCGAGAGGTCTACCAACCTCGACTGGTACAAGGGCCCAACATTGCTCGATGCCCTGGACATGATTAATGAGCCCAAGAGGCCATCTGACAAGCCCCTCCGTCTCCCACTTCAGGACGTGTACAAGATTGGTGGTATCGGAACTGTCCCTGTTGGTCGTGTTGAGACCGGTGTCCTTAAGCCTGGTATGGTGGTCACTTTTGGTCCCACTGGGTTGACTACTGAAGTCAAGTCCGTGGAGATGCACCATGAGGCTCTCCAGGAGGCCCTTCCGGGTGACAACGTTGGGTTTAACGTGAAGAACGTTGCTGTCAAGGATCTCAAGCGTGGATTCGTTGCATCCAACTCGAAGGATGATCCTGCCAAGGAGGCAGCCAACTTTACATCCCAAGTTATCATCATGAACCACCCTGGCCAGATTGGAAATGGTTATGCCCCTGTTCTTGACTGCCACACCTCCCACATTGCCGTCAAGTTTGCCGAGCTGTTGACCAAGATCGACAGGCGATCAGGTAAGGAGCTTGAGAAGGAGCCGAAGTTCTTGAAGAATGGCGATTCTGGGATGGTGAAGATGATTCCTACCAAGCCCATGGTTGTTGAGACTTTCTCGGAGTATCCTCCACTTGGTCGTTTCGCCGTGAGGGACATGCGCCAGACCGTCGCTGTTGGTGTCATCAAGAGTGTCGACAAGAAGGATCCCTCCGGTGCTAAGGTCACGAAATCTGCTGCCAAGAAGGGTGGCAAGTGAATCGTGCGGTCCACCATTGGCACTTCAACATTTGAGCACCGTCTCTGCAGTGGGAGTAATAAAGCTTTGGTAGTGTTTGGCTATGTCCATGTTGGTCGGGTAGGCGAATGGTTTGCTGGTTGTGGTCTCGCGTCCCTGTCCTCATCGAGTTGCTGGTTGCAGAACTGGGTGCTTGATAGGCGGTGGCAGCGCTGTGCTACTTCTACGAGTCTGTGTTGAGTCTTTCTTTTACGTGTTTTACTATCTTTTGGGGGCCAAACAATTGTGTGGTTTTTGAGTCTGCTTTGCTTTCTGGTTATTGGTATCGTCAAACATTCTGTGGTCTCATTCTGTTGAAGTGCAGTGCATTAGAGATTGGTGTGCTCCTGTGCTCTATTATATACCATCTGCATGCTTTTACCGATCTTCAGTGTTTATTATGTGCTTTTATTATAGCCACCGCGAGCATATAAGCTCTCGACAGCAAAATGAGCAAACAAGACGGTATAATTGGACTTATGTTTGTCATTTTGTTCAGAACTTGATACCATGAATGGGCTCAAAAAAAGGACAGTAAAGGACGACACCATATTTTAGATGTTCAAAATAAGTTAATGAATTAGACAAAATTACCCGGTAAGCCAAATTTAAATAACATAATATTTATGTGGGACAACTATAGAGGAAATATTTTGTAATATAATGTTAAAATTTCAAATTGAAATGCAATTACCAGTCTAAACTAAATTTTGATTCATTAGTTGAAAATCTCAAATGCAAATTTCAGCACTATATCGACAAATAGTTCCATTTGGCCAACTTTTCCGACGCGGCACCCATTTGGCACGGCGTCAACGCAACGTACGTCGAAAAAAATATTTTAAAAAATGCCAAATTGGCTTTCCGGCGTATCACGTCGTCAAATTGGGCGAGCAGTCGTTGGATGGAATAAAAATGACATCAAATGCAAATTGCTTGTTGATTGCACGTTAGGCCAAATGTTTTGGACTTTGATGTGACTAATGAAGTAATGATTTCCATTTGGACCAAAGAAAAAAGTAATGATTTCCATTTACTAGGAAGTAGAAGCCCGCACAAACTAGAAAAAAAAAAAAAACAAATCAGTTCTCGCATGCCACGGATTTAACTAAATTTAATTAAGAACACACCAAACACAAAAACTTGATAAGTTTATCCATCTAAAAATTAGGAACAAGATTTAGATTAATCTAAGTACAAATATCTATAAATAGATATAACATTTAAACTTCAATATAAGAAATATCAACCCAATAGAACTCTAAATGATATTCTACTTTTACTGTCACAAAAATCATAAGTTAAACCGTACTTAAATGGAACTATTGTAATATTTGTAATATCGAAAAGGTAAAATAGAGATAATAGTATTTTTTTAGGGCGAAAAAGTCACCAAAAATCTTAAGCTATGCTCACTTTGACATGTTTATCCTAAATTTTTTGTGACACCAAAAATCTCAAAATTGTACTCGTGTGACACGTTTAACCTTCGTTAAAGTTTTGTTAATGAAAACCGTTAAAAATTTACCTACGTGGACATCGGAAATCAAACGGTATTGATATGGTGCCCACATGACTTAAGTAAGATAAAAAGTTAAAAACGATGTTATTTTGGTTAAAAAATTATATACCCGAACCTTGATTGAAAGTAAATGTGTCTAAGTACAAGTTTGGGATTTTTTGCGTCACAAGAAAAAAATTTAGGGTAAATGTGTCACGGTAGGCATAATTTGAGGTTTTTAATGTCACAAAAAAGTTCAGGATAAATATGTCGCAGTGGACATAGTTTAGGTTTTTTTTTTTTATGGCTTTTCCCTCCTTTTTTATTGAGGAAATGGATTGAAATGACATGATATTACGAAATATAGGCAACAGTGAAATTATGAAAAATTGTGTATAGTATCGAAGGAATGATTTGACTTTTTTACCGAATGTTGAGGGACTAGATTGTGCAAGTCAAAAGTTTAAGGATTTAGATTGCACATTTAGCAATAGTTTAGGGACTTGCGACCCCCTATATTGCTTATTCAAACAAAAAAAAAAAGTACAAAAGTTCAAGAATGATATTGCACGTGCGGTCAGAGTCAAAGAACTACCGGGGTTTTTTTCCAATGGGGGAATTTGAAGATTAATAGAAAATACATAAATCAAGGTGCAAATTGAAAGTTTTCAAAAATAGCAAAAATGTACCGTGGAAAGATGGAAACAAATTAGGAGGGCACCATTTGGTAAATTTATCTAAATAAATAAATAATATAAATAAGAATGGAAAATGCTTCGAAAGGCCAGTGTTGAAATTATGAGGGCAAGATGAGGACACTCCAGGGGTGCTATATAAAGCCTCGCGAGGCCGTCGTCCTCACGCTCAAACCCTATCGCTCCCCTTCTTCGCTTCTGCTCTTCATCTCTCTCGCTCTCGCTCGCGCGCGGCCAAGGGTTTTCGGAGCTTCGACAGCTGAGATTTCCAAAGGTGCGGCAGCCCTTCGATCTTCCGTCGTTCTTGTTCTCGATCGGCCTTGTTGTTTCGATCATCGGTTGTTCGATCTTTGTTTCGTTCGTTCGTTCGTTCGTTCGATTTTTCCGAGCTCGAGATTGTTGGAACTCAGCTAGGTGCTAGGGTTGGTGTAATCTTTCGTCGTCTTTCGTGATTTGGAATGTGTTGATTCGCTCGCGTCTATAGGACTTCGAGCATTTGATGATTGAAACGAGGAGGACGGTCGTAGGTTTGCTGTTATGGATGGATTTGAGCTTTTGGCCCGTTTTGTTAGCTATCGCGGCGGAGTCCGATTTCTCTCGGTAAGGTTGTGGCTAGAAGCCTATGGGGAAAGGCGTTGTCGATGCTCGGTTCGATGTGTTTCTGGGGATCTGACCTGATCTGATCTCCTCTCACCGCCATTGTTTGTGCGCGCGCGTGCGAGATTGGTGTTTTGACGTTTCGTGATTTTTTGCTTCGCCTTTCCTACCGTCTGCTTTGGTTTTTGAGAAGCAGAAGAATCTGGTCTTCGTTCAGATAGATGCCTGTTGTTCCGGATGCTCATTGTAGATTTTAGATGTGTAGTTTCCCGAGTGTTCGCGTGGCTGAATTTGATGGCTAATGATTGTCGTGCGTAATTTCTTGTTGATCTCGTGGCTTTGACAAGCTGGAGACACCGTGTTGAAGAATGCTGTGATTGGCAATGTTGAAATGGTCAACCGAAATCAAAGTGTCGTTGTTGTTGATATGAGTTTTCTTGTTCTCCCAATGACTGTTGTATTTTCCAAGCAACTTTAAATTCTCATCCTAATGTCTAAGGATTATCTCTTTGTTCGATGGACAGTGTTTAAGCCCCATACATCAAAATGGGTAAGGAAAAGGTTCACATCAACATTGTGGTCATTGGCCATGTCGACTCTGGCAAGTCAACTACCACCGGACACTTGATTTACAAGCTTGGAGGTATTGACAAGCGTGTGATTGAGAGATTCGAGAAGGAAGCTGCTGAGATGAACAAGAGATCATTCAAGTATGCTTGGGTGCTTGACAAGCTCAAGGCCGAGCGCGAGCGTGGTATCACCATTGATATTGCCTTGTGGAAGTTCGAGACCACCAAGTACTACTGCACCGTCATTGATGCTCCTGGACATCGTGACTTTATTAAGAACATGATTACTGGAACCTCCCAGGCCGACTGTGCTGTCCTCATCATTGATTCCACCACTGGTGGTTTTGAAGCTGGTATTTCCAAGGATGGCCAAACCCGTGAACATGCTCTCCTCGCCTTCACACTCGGTGTGAGGCAAATGATTTGCTGCTGTAACAAGGTATATTGGTTATTCGAGGCTGCTGTTAGTATATTGCTGTGTGTGTGTTGATTTAGAATTGACTTATTATTCTTTGATGGCAGATGGACGCCACCACCCCCAAGTATTCCAAGGCTAGGTATGATGAAATTGTTAAGGAAGTCTCTTCTTACCTGAAGAAGGTGGGATACAACCCTGACAAGATTCCTTTTGTCCCCATCTCCGGATTTGAGGGAGACAACATGATTGAGAGGTCTACCAACCTTGACTGGTACAAGGGCCCAACATTGCTCGATGCCCTGGACATGATTAATGAGCCCAAGAGACCATCTGACAAGCCCCTCCGTCTCCCACTTCAGGACGTGTACAAGATTGGTGGTATCGGAACTGTCCCTGTCGGTCGTGTTGAGACCGGTGTCCTTAAGCCTGGTATGGTGGTCACTTTTGGTCCCACTGGGTTGACTACTGAAGTGAAGTCCGTGGAGATGCACCATGAGGCTCTCCAGGAGGCCCTTCCGGGTGACAATGTTGGGTTTAACGTGAAGAACGTTGCTGTCAAGGATCTCAAGCGTGGGTTCGTTGCATCCAACTCGAAGGATGATCCTGCCAAGGAAGCAGCCAGCTTCACATCCCAAGTTATCATCATGAACCACCCTGGCCAGATCGGAAATGGTTATGCCCCTGTTCTTGACTGCCACACCTCCCACATTGCCGTCAAGTTTGCTGAGCTTTTGACCAAGATTGACAGGCGATCCGGCAAGGAGCTTGAGAAGGAGCCGAAGTTCTTGAAGAATGGTGATTCTGGGATGGTGAAGATGATTCCCACCAAGCCCATGGTTGTTGAGACTTTCTCAGAGTATCCCCCACTTGGGCGATTCGCTGTGAGGGACATGCGTCAGACCGTTGCTGTTGGTGTTATCAAGAGTGTTGATAAGAAGGATCCCTCTGGAGCTAAGGTTACAAAATCTGCTGCGAAGAAGAAGTGAACCGTGCAGTCCAGCTCCGGCACTTCAATACTTGAAAGTGGTCCCTATAGTATTTGGAATAAAGCTTGGGCTATTGTTAGCCTTTTCTCTCTTGGTCATTTAGGTGTGTCATTTGCAGGTCGTGGCGCCATCTATCTGTCTTTGTCTAGTGTCTGGTTGCAAAATTGGGTGCTCGATAGGCGGTGGCATGGTTTGGCCATTAACCTGAGTCAGTTTTGAGTCCCTTGCGCTTTGTGGGGAGTGTACTTTTAGAACTCTCGATTCCGTTTCATTTGGGATTAGTCTGTTATATACATGTGATAGGCGGTCTCATATCCTGTTTTACCATTCTTCTTTGCGAGTCATATAAACGTTGTTGTGGATGTAAACTTGATCTGTTGTTTGGCAAAACCTCTTCCTATCTTTTAGCTGTTGGGGCCTTTGAAGTTGTACTCCAGCTATGGCTGCTTTGTGGGAAGTACGCATAACACGTTCAGTTCTGGGATTTCGAGAGGATAAATACCAAGAATGTCTGGATTGGTTTATAAATTGATGCTTCAACAGAATTGATCTGCAGTAAATTCATCATTTGCGCATGATATGGCTCATGCTCACTTGTTTAGATGGTCAGTTGTTTATATACGTTTTTGCTTGCAAAAAATCATATCATCAGTTAAGTACCTATTGTGAAACAGATCCTTGTTACTCAAAGTAGCGGATGAAGAGCTTGGACGGGGAAAAACAGCAATTTTGTTGAACGTTTGATTTGATACTTAAAATTCCTTTTCTTTCCGATCATCCTTTCGGAACTGTGGGTGTTCTAGCCGCCTTGCGATTACATTGGAAGGGACAGATAGAGGCAAAGACAGCACGCGATTACATTGGGAGGGACAGATAGAGGCAAAGACAATCGCCATGCGCACAACGTACCCAGCCACAATCCTTGTGCAAATCTTCGGCGAGAGTTGGTGACCATTGACGCCACATGCTTGACCCTCACCATTAGGGCGGATGCTTCCATTTCCTCGTTTCTCCTGTTTTTTCTTTTTGAACATATTTCTTCGATCGTTGATTCTTGACGTTTGTAGCTGGCCGATTATGATGTCAATGCGGGATATGTTCTGGAAAGAGTAACATATGTTCCTGTCTAGTTTTTTTTAACAGAAGGAAAACGTTACACGTTCTGAAATCCAGTTGAACGAGAAACTTTTCAAGGAGTAGACTGAACGTCGGCTAACACTTCAAATGGTAACCGTGTATTTGTCCCAAGCCTAAACCAGAGCAGCCTTTGCTAAAAGTGGAGGGAAATCGATCTGAATATGAGTTGTAAACCCTTCCAATGTCCACACGTTCTAATCTAGCTTCGCCCTTCGAGATGTTGCAATAACTCACGAGACATCAATTTGCACATCCGCCGTCTTTTAATTTACCATGCACGGCTCGCTTAATTGTCGACTCTTTTCGCCTAATGCCGACAAGGGGTCTCTTGATTCTTGCGATGAGTCAGCAACATAAACTGAGTAATGCACGACCGGACTTTGAGGCTGAAATGCCCATTTTTCACAAGAACAATGATGCGATCCCACTGTGACACATACGATGCCAACAATTTCCTGAACAAATCCGAAACAGCAGAACAGAGAAACTATGTGCCTCTTCCTGGAGACGATGCGTGCCAAGTGAATCTCATCTCGACGCAAAATCGAGTAGACCCTCTATATGCATCCATCCCGCAGATCTCCACCTGAGAATTAAGCTCAATTTTCCCGAAGGTACTTGAGATTTATGTCACAATTCTCATCATCTTTATTTTATGCAGAGTGCAAACATGGCTAGTCAAAAGATAACAAAAATTTCCAATGTGATCTCACAAAGGTCAAAAACCCTCTAAAAATGCAGAAAAGTGAAGTCAAGGCAGTTGTCTCTTGAAGATCATCAGAAGGAAAAGCCTTGAATGAAAGATCCTCCAAAGTTTCCATCAGCCCTGTTCAAATTACAAGTTCTTAAAAGCAGACTCATGAACTGGAGGTTTCTGTGGGGTCAGCCTGGCCAACAAAGCCTTATTATGGCAGTGCTTTTCGTCGATGAAATAGAAATCGTCATTCGCCTTGAATGTCACAAAGGGCCTGTTAGTCTCAGGAGCTCTAATATCCGAGAACTTGATTGTCCTCGGAATATGAGTTGCTAACCACGACATCATCTCCACCTCGAAGCTATCAGAGCCAGGCTGCCATTTCAGTTTGTGAACATATGGGTTCACAAACCAGTGAAGAGCCGCGGTGGTCGAAGCGCTAAGGAATATTACCGAAGATGCCACAGCACCCTTCAATATCACATTCATTTCTGGTAATGTCATGAAGGTTATGACCGGTCCCATGGATACAGAGAGGCAGCAGGTGGAGAGTGATAGGAGTTTCACTTTCTTAATAGTGGAAGAAATTGGACCATAGTAAACAATGCTGTTGTCTTTCTCATCTTCTCCACGTTCGACCCCTCTTCGCGGTCCAATACTGATCTTGTTTTCTTCTTCAGCAGCTGGGCTCTGAGACAGCCATCTTCTGTTACCAGCTGAAAATTTGGTGGTAGTATTGAAACTAGGTCTGGAACTCCATGTATGAGGCGATGCTAAAGATCTACACAACAGGTTGCCTGAAACATGGGAAGAACACGGAAATTTACATATTGGAATACCAAGAGAAACAGAACTCAAGCAAAGTAATTCATTTGTAGCATAATAACGATATTACCAGCAATTGACTAAAAAACTGCTTTTCAATTTGATTAAGCCATCAAAATAATTTATGTGAACATCTGAAGTTTTATCCTTCCATCATTTACAGCGATCATTAATCTTCTCAGCCACAGCATTACAATGAACATTGTGGTCCCATGAAGCAAGATAAAGAAATCGCCATTTTGCTTGGGTAGGCAATGGTCACGCCGTCTAAACTTAATATTACTCTCTTTTCTGTCTAAGTTGTCTTCTACGAAGAGGGAGGGGGTTGCTCAGAAGTGCTCATACTTACAGGAGAAATTCATGGGGCAGTTGATACATTAGTCGACACGGCTACAAAAAATAAAAAATGATACAAATGACAGAATAGTGTAGTAGAGAGCTAAGAGAACAAGCTTCTGAGGGCTGAGTCGTAACAACAATGAATTGAACAATTCAAATACTCGAACTTAGACATTAATGCAGTGGCACTGCAAAGGATGCTTGAGATTGAAACTGTAATCAACATAATAACTCCACTCAATAACAAATGATGCTAAACATCACAAGAAAATGGGTTCTTGTAGTGCTTGGACTCCATCTCAGAAGTATTGAGTTGATGTACTGTGAACCGCAAAGTATGAATTTACCAAAGTGACAAAGAAGCGCGAAGTATCAATGTCGGTAAAGAACATTAAAGCATTAGTAGCTCCGCTTACCCACATCAAAAATTAGACTGGATAGATTGCACCCATAACATCATCTTTTTTTCCCGGAAATTCGATATGAGCCAAAAAAAAGAAAAGATAAAGAGTGAATATAGCCATGAAAACCAGGTTCATAGCCAGCCCTCTTTGTACAATATAACCTCTTCACGAGATAGCAGAACAATCTCTCCTCTTACGTTCTAGACAAACAATCAGCTATATTTTTCCCCTTGTATGGAGTAAGAGCAAATTGATTAAATCCAAGAGGCTTCAAGACAAAGTGAAACCTCACACATACACCACATCAGGAGTCATCACCAAATGATTGCTAAGTCGAGAGAGACAGGGGCGCTCATCGACCCAATAGCGCAGCTACCGAGTCATTCTGAAAAACATCTTCTGCGACGTTGGGGGCAAAACCCTACAGAACCCCTCAACACCTTCGACCAAATCATGAAACTAACAGTTGAAGTGCAAGAGATGTTTAACCAAACCACCAGATCAAAAGGGTCATGCCGGTTTTCGGAGCCTACCCTCGGCAACAAAACTTCAAATTAAACGCACACCCACATCCACATCCACGGAGCAGCAGAATCTCTCTCCCCAGTACATGCGCGCCACAAAGGGAGCAACTTTCTTTCGTCTTTCTAGGTTATGGATCGGATGAACGCAGCTCAGCCACTAGAACAGAGAGCAGGGGACGAGAAAGAGAAGCGAAAAGATAACCTGAGGAAATATGGCGCTTCGACTGAGTGCGGAGTAAGTGGAGGAGAGCAGATCTCGCCATTTTCGATATGAATGCGCTCTCTGGTTTCAGGTTCGCAGCCGGAGAGCGAGGGTTTTGGGTTTGTGGGATGATGCCTTATGACAATTGCGTGGTTTCGGGCTTTTCGTAAATTTCGTGTCCGTAACGTAGATGTTGTCGAACTCACCATTCTTCAGAAAATTTAATAAAGTCTCTATTAATTGTTTGTTCTTGAAAAGCAATTGGCTTTTTTCGATCGAATGGAAGTTACATAAATGATTTCGATTTCGAGCAATGGCGCGTCGACGTGATCCTCAATTCCCCTGACTTAGGAATGAGGACTGAAGTATGTACCAAGCCTGTTGTTTGCAAATGGGACAGATGAGGGCAGGCTCACGGTCATCTCTAACTCCAACTCTGTTTGGCAGTTGGATTCTTTTCCTGGTAGTCACGCTGTTGGTTCAGGTCAGGGCATTTCAAGAATCAGAACCAGACACCATGCAATACTCTCCTAATTGCCGATCCTCTGCGGCGACTTGGAGAAGTAGATGCGAAATCATTGCTGTGAACTATTATTAAACAACAAGACGGAGAAACCAATAGCCATTTTCCAGACACTGGCGGTGAAAGGATGATTTCGCTCGCGAATACTTGGCCATTTATGTAGCAATTGCCAATCTTTATTGTTTGGAAACATATCTGGTCGAAAGATAAAACAAAAATCCCAGATATGGTTTCACAAAGATCTAAAAGGTATAGATGCATGACTAGAAAGAGGATCTCCACTTAAAGTTCATCAGAAGGCAAAAATGAAAGCCATAGCCCTCAAGATCTCCTCCAAAGTTCCCACTGGCCCGGTTCCGCCTACAAGTTCTTGAAAGCAGACTCAGGAACTGGACGTTTCCGTCGGGGTCAGCCTGGCCAGCAAAGCCTTGTCATGGCAGTGCTCCTCATCCACGTAATAGAATTTCCCATTTGCCTTGAATGTCACAACGGGCCTGTTAGTTTCTGGAGGCCTAATGTCCGAGAACTTGATCGTCCTCGGAACATAAGTCGCTAACCATGACATCATCTCCACCTCGAAACTATCAGAACCTGGCTGCCACTTTATTTTATGAATGTATGGGCTTACAACCCAATGAAGAGCCGCAGTTGTTGATGCGCTGATGAGTAGGACGGAAGATGCCATCACACCCTTTAGGATCATGCTCATATTTGGTAATGTCATGAAGGTTATAACAGGTCCCAGTAATACGGAGAAGAAGCAGCTAGAGAGTGATAGGAGTTTCACTTTCCTAATGGTGGTTGAAACTGGACCATGGTAAACAACAATGTCAACTTTCTCATCTTCTCCAGTTTGGCCCCCTGACCGTGGTGCATCACTGATCTTGCTTTCTTCTTCAGCTGCGGTGCTCTGAGACAGCCATCTTCTGTGACCAGCTGAAAGCTGGGTGGCAGAGGTCAAACTGGGTCTGCAACTCCATGTTCGAGGCGATGCTAAAGATCTACACAACCGTTGGCCTGAAACATGGGAAGAGCATGAAAATTTCGTAAGAACAGGATAAAGGGAACTGCAAGCAGATTAAATTGACTTGTAGAATAAGAACGATGTTTTTGAGTAATTGAGTCAAAACCACTTTTGAAATTGATTAAACCATCATCATCATTTCAACATCTATGGACTCATCTACCCATTAATTACAAAGACAATCAGCCTTCTCAGCCTCATTTTGCAGAACTTCCTATGTTACTTCAGCAAGCTTGCCAAAGAGCCAAAACTTGACTCCAACCATTCAGGTGAGAATTTTACTTGCTTATGTTGGCAACCTTAAGAGGGATAAAGCAATGGCCATTTCACTCATGTAGGCAATGGTCACACTGTCTAAAACTTCAATGATTCTCATTTCTACTTAAGTTGTCTTCAGGCACAGATGAGCTCAAGTGATTGAGCTTCTGAGAGAGCCTAACAGCATGAGCTTCTGAAGTGCATCCGTAAGAAGATGAACAGAACAGAGCAAGTACTTTGGACTGAGGTATCAACATTGACAATAATGATAAAAGCAATGGCTGCACTCGGTATAAAAACATGCTGAACATCAAAATGAAAAGGTTTTAAGCAATGCTTGGACTCCATTTCAGAAGCATTGAATGGCGTCCTACAAAGATGGCGAACCTTCAATTAAGTAAAGAACATTTACACCATCAGCAGCAAACTGGAATGAATCGATCACATCAATTAGGATCCTTTTCCTTGAAATTCGATACAAGATAAAAAACGACCACCGATGCAGAGTGCATATGGCAATGGCAATTAAGTTTCCAGCCAGCCCATCTTTAAATAACCGTTTCACAAGATAGCAAAAGATCTATCCTTTCACAATCTAGATCAACAATCAGCTATTTGGTCGCGCAAGACGGATTCAGCCTCCGGACGAGAATCCGCGTCGCGGGCTAGCCGAAACTCGAGCAATTCGTAACATGGCAGGTTCAAAAACGCAACTTTGCGACGCATCATTTCTAGAACCCGCAAGCAAAGTGGGTCTTCCAAAAGCTAGAGCGAGCGGGATCAAACACGCTCTCTCTCTCTCTCTCTCAAAAGAAATGCACCAGAAACAGCGCTAACTTAACTTCTCGTTAGGCAGTCAAACGAAAACGATTACGCAGAACATTTCCTTTCCTTTTTCTTTCACGACCGAAACACGTTTTGACCATCGAGATGCAGAGCAACAAAGGTCGAAGTTAAGGGGCAGAGAGAGAGAGAGAAAGAGAGAAGACCCGTGTGGAAGTAAGCGGAGGGGAGACGATGCTTCGACTGGGAGCGCAGCAGGTTGAGAAGAGCTGATCTCGCCATCTCCTTCTCTCTGCTGCACTTCCTCCGAGGTTTTGGTTCCGCACCTTCGCAGCTGACGAACTGCAGACACGGGCAGGGTTTTATGCAGCTGGGGATATGGACGAGTTTAAAAGTTATATCAAAAATTTCGAAGGGACGAGAAACAGCGAAGGGCATTTGGTCTAGTGGTATGATTCTCGCTTAGGGTGCGAGAGGTCCCGAGTTCAATTCTCGGAATGCCCCCACCACCTTCCTCTTTTCATTCCTTTTTTTGGCCAATTGGTATGCCACTTGGTGGTTCCGTTTTTCAAATATTGCTTTGTCAAAGTGAAAATGCAAATAATGTCTAATTTCTTTTTTCTTAAAAAGGTTCGGAACCATTTCTAAAAGTTGAGTCTAAGTTAATTTTCAAGATGGAACTGTTTATCATAGAGGCTTGAATCGATGATCTATTGAAAGAGTCAAGAGGGGTTAGATCAAAGCCTTTGGAAGCGGAAATTGTATTGATAATGAGAAGCTGGTTATTGCGATTGAACCAAAATCTTTACTCCCTCTTATTAATGAGTGGGAAAAGTGAAAGAGAAATTCTAAGCTTTTTGTAAATAGTGTACTCGAGTACTAAATCTTTCAACTAGTCCACTCAAATTCTAAATATTTTTTTTTGGTCAAAAAGTACAATCAAGTATACTTTCAATGAATCGCACCTAAAGTTGCATATGTGACACTCAATAGCCAAATACTTAGTATTCTTAAATTTCACCATTCAATACAAGTTTCAAGACTTAATTAATCGATTGCATTTCACAAACAAGCACTTGTGGTGCAATTTTCCCATTGACGGAAGGAGGGTGAATCAACAACAATGCTAAAGGAACCAAACATGATTTAGGACAAAAAAAAGTACATATTTGGTCTTCATATACATGGTACATCTTCGACGTGGTCTTTAAACAAAGATTTATGCAATCGAGTTCTTGAAATAGTTAGGAAACTTTTCCATTCAAAGTCTCTGGGTATTTGATTTTGTGAAATTAGAACCGATGTGTCTGCCAATGTCGATTAGAAGTACGATTCAAAGAAAATTGGTGCCACGTTGGACAATTAGTTTGTGCCTACCCAATTATACTGGAAAAATGTCTTCGGCAAAAAATAAAAACAAAAGACCATTGGAGCAACAATGCAAGATATAGACGGTCTGACTTTTCCCACTGCTTTTAGTCCACATAGGGATACGATTAAAAAAATTTCACAAATTGAAAAGCCCAACTCTACAAATTAAAGTTTGACAATTGAGTTTTCAAACCCATATATGAAAGTGATTTTACACACAAAAGGAAAGGATACTAAGGAATTGCGCGCGTGATGTGTAAAAGCTAGTCTAGTATCTTCCGTGAATAAACTTGCACATCGAAATTTTGTATCAATATAGATATGAAGTGAATTTAACCAAATTCAATACTCGAAATTTTGAGTTGTGAAACTCAAGAAAGAAGGGCCTCGGGATTTTCTCCCAAGAAACTCAAAAACATAATAGCATAAATCACAAAAATGCCCCGGAGAATATATCTTCGAAAATACGAAATATGACTGTTAAAAAGAGGAAAAATAATAATAAAATAAAATAAAAGAAACAGAAAAATAATATATCCATTACGGAGCCCAGACCGTGAACTTCCTCCCTCCTCCACCGGCGAAATCGCCTTCGGAGTCGTCTCCCACTTTCATCTTCGCTTCGGTAAGAAAATCTTTGCTTTCCAAATGCTCAAAAACCACAGCTTTGATCTTCCCTTCTTCTTCTTCTTCTTCTTCTTCGTGTTCGATCTCTTCTCTCTTCCCATACGCCTCTTTCGCGGTGTACTTGTGGGGGGTGGGTGCGGGAAATCGCCGGGCGGAATGGTGCTGAGTGGAGCTCGTGCTCCGACGCTCGTTTTCGGAGCGCCGGACGGACGGGGCAATTCGGGATCGTCTTTTCCAGCCCCGCACCGTGCAGTTGGTTTAGAGGCTCTTCTGGCGAAGGATTCGATGATGGGTGTTGCTCGAATTGGCCTCTCGATGATGGGTCGTTTGAAATTTCGCTCATTTCTCGACCCCATCGTGCTGATTGAACGTAGCTCGTGCGAAAGAAAGTTTATTTAAGCCTCTCCCGTTGGCGACGGTGTTCTCCCGAGGCTGCGGCACTCTTCCTTGATTGGGGTGGTTGTGTTGGAAACGGGTTTAGGATTTTGTCCGGTAGTTTTACCAGGGATCAAGCTGGCTGGGTTCGTTGTGTTTCTCTTGTTCGATGAGAATGTCGCTTTAATTTGTAAGTGCATCTGCCCGCGACTCCAGTCTAGCCGCAATTCCCCGGGAGGCCGCGGTTGCAGCTTTAATCGAACGCCGGTGGAGACATTTGCATTGTGTTTTTCGACATTGGACATTGTTTTTTTGTCTTTGCAATTAGGATTTAGTGGTCGTCACGATTGTGTAATGACATTGATTTATTTTGGTAACAGATGGAAGCGATGGGTGCCTCGGTAGAGTCGGCACAGGATAATGATATAGCTGGAACAGGAAGACACGAGGCCAATGTACCGGAATTGGACGGTTACAAGCACCGCGTGGATGAGATTCTCATGAAAGTCGATCAGGTAATATATGCAAGGCTTTGAAAGGATGCTTTTTCCATGTTGATCGGGATTTGAAGGAATTGTGTGGGTCGCTCATGTAATGGACTCTGCCAAACATCTTTTGTTAATTTTTGTTTGGGTAGGGGGAGGAGGAGGGGAGCCGTGTATTTGCCGTGGCTCAAATTTGAATTAGGCATTCGTGTGATAGCCTCGTAAAAGATATCGAGGCAATGTTGGGTTTTCTTTTGCTTGTGAACTTGCCATGTTCTTTCTTCTTTACGCTCCCCCTTTTGTGGATATAGCTGAATAATACAAAAGGTAGACAATGATGAAGAAGCACATGCAGGTTACTTTCACATTGATGAGTAGCATCTGCCGTTATGCTGCCTTTCTCCATGTTATTTTCTTACAGTAAAGCGCAAGTTTTTTGGAGTCTGGAAAAAAAAATGATCGATTTATGTTAATGATTGCTTTATCCTCTGCAGCTCGAGCAAAGAGTCAACGAAGTTGAGCTGTTCTATCTCAATACAAGTAAAAAGCAAGTGAACACTTCGAAAGGTAGCTCAGTAGTTAAGGATAAAGATAAAGAGAGGCAAATCCCTAGCTTAAAGAAGCTGCAACTGGATGCATCTCGCAGAGAAGCAGCTGCTGCAAAGAGAATGCAGGAGCTCATGCGCCAATTTGGCACAATATTGCGTCAGGTAATCGTCTAACGTTTATGCTCATTTTATATATCATGCAGTACACTGCAGTGACTCCTTTAACCAAGTAAATTAATGAGTTGCCATAGCATACGTCCTATTTTGGCCTCTTAATTAAAATAATGACGGTTTTGGGTTTACATGAATATATGATTATGGTGATGGTTTATATGTTTACCCTATCAACTTTCAAGATGACTGTTGTAATGGCTGGCTAGCTTAATGAACTTGCCATCCATCATACAGGTTTTCATTATTTGTCTAATTTTTTGGTTTTGACATATCTTTTAGAAAATACTCTTTTGTCTGTATAGATCCATTGCTTAGTTGGATTGATCAAACTAGTTACTTTACATGCACATCCTTGTAAGTCATATAGGGGGTGGGAACGTTCTTTGAACCGTCTTTATCTTAAATGTTAGTTTCATTGGTGTTTTATTTAATTGATTTTAGGTGTTTAGCTTAACTGAACCTCTGGCCTGTTTTAACTTTCTCATGTCTTCTGTCCTCAATTTTCTTGCACAAGAAAGAAAGTATGTTTTTCCATTGGTAGAGATAGAGAAATCCTCATGTTATATATTAGCTGTTTCTATGTTTGTTAAGCATCACATTTTGACTATTGGTGTCAGATCACTCAACACAAATGGGCATGGCCTTTTATGCAACCTGTAGATGTTAAAGCTCTTGGCTTGGACGACTATTATGAGGTACATATTATCGTCTCTTTCTGAATACCTGTGATTGCTATGCACTTCCATGTGCCTCTTGCAATATTCCCAGGATCACCCATTGAAGCAAGATGACAAAGTTTTATACTTTGAACACATTGCAGATGGATCTGCGATGTTAAGATATTTAGCAGTGATAGTTTGATTGCTTATCAAAACGCAACACTGCTTCATGGTCATTTGATATCTGAGATTTGGGGAATTTGCTTTCCTCTATGCTTGCATAAGCCCACTCATTAATATCATCAACTGAATGACTTCAGTCTTATCAATTTAACTTGAGTCAAAAGATGTTCACTTTGAGAATATTGTGACTTGTAAGCAAATAAATTTATATTTGCCAAATATTCTGGATAGTAAGATTTTGAGAATTCAGAATGTTGCATCAAGAGGCGGCCTTGTTCTAGTTCTTATTTTTCTACTCTATATGCAAATTCTGTTCCATATGGCCTCCATAATGGTCCATTTTCTATTATATTTTTCTGATTCAGTAATAATGCTTGTTGATGTCAACATGATGCTTGATGCATATGTCTGCTTATTATGGTTGTTGGCATGAAGTCTTGTAGGCATGGTTGGTTTAGGAAGTTCTTGTGTTTTGGTTACATCTTCTTTCTTGTTCCATTAAGAAATATACAAAAATCAAGCATATATATAATCATATAATTTTATCTTAGAAATCATTGTCATCTTTACAAAATATTAATGTATTTGGATCTTGGATTTTGATCTTAAAATGTCCTTTTTCATATACAAGTGGTCCGCTCACTTTCCAACTGGTTGGACTCAGGACAGGCTGATCCAACTTGTCTTTCTTCTTTTTTCATTGATCTTGTGGGATCTGATGTACTTGTGCTGTTGTCAGTACGACAGACAGTTCTAAGCTGTACTTTCTGCTTCTTGCAGTTCCTTTTTGACAGTTTTACTTTTTGTTCTTGATGATCTGTTTTAGGTGATTGATAAGCCAATGGACTTCAGTACAATAAAAAATCAAATGGAGGCTAAAGATGGTACTGGTTACAAAAATGTCCGTGAAATATGTGGTGATGTGAGGTTGGTTTTCAAGAATGCAATGAAATATAATGCTGAAAAAAGTGATGTTCACGTAATGGCCAAAACTTTGCTGGAAAAATTTGAGGAGAGGTGGCTGCAGCTATTGCCCAAGGTTACCGAGGAGGTTAGTTCGGATCTGGTTATCAGATTGAAACTTTTCCCTAGGTTCCATTAACATTACAGGCCATGACTTCCTTTGGATGGACTGTCATGATTCCTCAAATATCCTCATAATTTTTTCAAACAGAGATACCCTTACTCTTTTTAATGTCATTTATATCATAATTCGTACTTATTTAGGAGAAAAGACGAGAAGAGGAGGAGTCAGTTGCGCAGATGGACATGCAGCTTGCTCAGGAGGCTGCTTATGCAAAGTTGGCAAGAGACATAAGTAATGAGGTACTGGACTTGTCAATATGCATAATATGTGATTTGATAGTTGGGGTGAACATATTCTTTTACATACACATATCCATAGATGACCAAGATGCTTTCTTTTAATTGCAAATTTCTTTTTTTCTGTTAGATATATTTTTGCTAGGATTCTTGAGAATAATAAGGGATGTTTTCTCCTGTATTTTCATGAACTTTCAGCTCTATGAGGTTGATTTGCATTTGGAAGAGCTTAGGGAAATGGTTGTTCGGAAATGCAGGTCTGTTTCACATGAGTGTATATCTGTTGTGGAATATTCTTTAAGTTTTATTGAAATCTGCTTTATGATGATTGCTCCTGTTCTGGTTTATGCTTTTAACTCTATACATAGGGAGCTTCTAGATGAAACTATATCAATCTGTATTTAGCTTTGAAATTGTGCTTTCTAGCATCTGGGCATTTACTGATATGCTTTTAACTGCTTGCCGTACTCTTGGGCACTGATGATGAACAATTGCAATCCGAATTTCAGCATTTACGTTATTTGCGCCGAGACTATGCAACTGTTGAACGAAACAAACCACTGAAGAGTATATTGTCCTGACTAAAAATGCATGACGGTTGATGCTACCCCGAAAGTGGGTGCCTTCACCTTGAATAGTTGGCCCATACTATCATATTCATGCCTTGTTAAAGCTTATAACATGGATGAAGTATGATGAATCATTTTGAGTTTCCTGATGCCATTGATGAACTCAGATTCACAAAGGAGGCATGTAGATTAATTTGAAGGACTTTTAGATCTTGCTAGTTGGCTGATAAAACATTAGATTTTCAGGATTGGTCATGTTTAGATTTGGGAGTAGAAACCACCGTCTGAGAATCTTGATTGTGCAAATATAGGAGTCTGAGTTGGACAACTTGAGTTCCGTACATGGCTGAGAGAATTTGTGACAGAATGGCTGGATTCTTAAGTATTGCATGCAATCGACACAATGAGGCATCCGCTATTCTGCTGGCTTGAAGGTTTAATAAATATAGCTCGAGATAGTTAGAAGAGATGTTTGATGCATGCGATAAGGGTGCATAAAGTTCTACATTGAATGTACACAGGGAATTGGTTGTAAATAACTAAAAAGTGGAGGAGCTTAAGCTTAGTCAATAGCTGGTTGGAGTACCATGGAGTCCTTTGCATGGTCACCAGCTCCTTTTCTTTAGGAAACGATGGTTTCAATATACTCTACATTTGTCTTTGACATCTTTAGGTTCCTTCATTTGTAAAGCTTGCTTTGCAAATAAGGCTGATACGAGTCTGGCCAATTTCTCTCTTCTAGATGAGGAGGAACTCATGAGAATTTCATTTCAGGAAAATATCGACTGAGGAGAAAAGAAACATCGGCACAGCCCTTAGTTTGTTGTCTCCTGAAGATCTCCTTAAGGCATTGGAGATTGTCGCTCAGAATGATCCAAGCTTCCAATCAACAGCTGAGGAAATAAACCTGGACATGGATGCTCAGGTCCTGATCTGTCCCTCATCATAAGAGGCTTGTGTTCTATTATTCAAGGGTTTTTTTTATTTGCTGGACATAGTCATGGACGATTCATGATCTTTGGTTACCTGACTTATGCAGAGTGAATCTACTTTATGGAGGTTGAAATTCTTTGTGAAGGATGCTTTGGAAGTTCAGGGGAAGACTTCATTAAGTACTGGGGGAGATAACAACAATACCAATAACTTGAGCAAGAACAAAAATAACAACAGTAACGGTAACCGGATCAACAAGAGGAAAAGAGAGATATGTGATGCCATCACTAAATCTGCCAAGAAAAGGAGTAAGAAACCCACCCTCATGATTGCATCACAGAGAACATAGTCAAGGGAGATGTGGGGTTTCACATGAATCCCGAAAAGGCTTTCGGCTGATCGGAATCGCAGACCTAGTGTTGTAGCGGTTTTCCCCTCTTTCGTGTCTATGGAGTCATAGTTGATGCAGCTAAGTGACCCTTAGAGTTTGGGTTGCCGTTGGCATCGAGCAGAAACTTGTTCTAGCCGCCGACATTGTAAATTCTCCCACTCTTGCTAAGATTTTGTTTCGCTCCTTAATTCTTTCATATCTTTTCCTTTTGCGCCGAACCGTGAACTCCAGTATTGTTTAAACCTGCACTGTTTAGGGGGATTCATCTCAGCAGGACCTACAGATGCCCATTAACTCAGTTATGTACTCGTCAACATGGACCGAGAGAAGAACATTTGGCAGTCTCATGGGTTAAAACTTCCATTGATGCAAGTGATGCATTGGGTGATCTATATTGCCATCACTTAGCAGCTTGTGCTCCACTGAACTTCATTGCAATGACTGGACGGTATGCCTGGAGCACCGGTCATTAATCCGATACATCCTCATGATCGGGAGCACCGGGGCATGCGGCATTTTTTTTGTTTCGTGGTGTTCTAACTTTTCCTTTGTCGACGTGCAAATAAATGGCGTGGCAACTCTGATGAGAGATGTCTCCCTCGGTACAAGTCCAAAGTTTCGATGTCGACCTTCCCATTTAAACCGTTTGCAGTTCGTTTCCCTGTCAAATTTCTACTTGGAGAAGTGTGAATTTCCCATGTGCGATGACAAAGGCTTGAGATTAAGCTGGGGCAATGCCAGTATACTCGCTGAAAGTGCAAGACATTTTTACTTAACTAATGCTCCGTTTGTTTTGCGAAACATATGACGTTTTTGAATTTTTTTTTTTAAGAAGTTATAATGTTTGGCTGAAATCTGAAAAGGAATTGGAAATTTTTTTTCCAAAGTAGACATGCATTCTTCGGGCTTTAATAACTTGGGTACGAGCAGCCACGGAAACGGGTATGGGGCCCGGGATCCCCGCAGAAGCCGATACGATGATCGTAGGAGCGGAGGTTGGAGGAGGAATGGGAGTCCCCGATCGATGAGAACTCAAAGAAGTCGTCGTGATCGGAGGAGGATGATGAAGATGATGTGTAAGGCGTCATCTTCGTGGAGTAATTGGCCGTGTCGGAGTACAAGGAGAGATTGTAGAGCGAGAGCGCGATTTTCAGAGCAGGGAAAATGAGCTAGGGGCTGTGTCATGCGTGAGATGAGACGAGCAAAAATCATTTTCCCCTATTTTAAAGGACTTGTTTTCGTTGATAGAAATTGTGTGTTTTTTTTTAACTCATCCGTTTTTCTTGGGCCAAACGCCTGAAAATTCAGAAAATATTTTTCTGGAAATTGTTATTTACGAAACAAACGGAGTCTAAGTATAAATTTATCAACACTTCCATCTAGATTAAATCTATTTTCGAGGGAGAAAATGAGTGCGTTTAGCAAGGGAAAACCGAGTCTATCACGCACAACTTTTTCGGGACATGCGAATTCCTTCATAAATTAAGCAATACTTGTGTGGAGACAACAGTTTTAATTAGCTTTCCAAAGTCATTGGACGTGATTTTGTTTGTAAGTTCTCGATGTTTTTTCTGGACATGTGCATGTGACAAAAGCCAGAAGGTCATTATGGTCTAATTAATAACGTTTAAAATAGAAGATCTCAATCTAATGATCATGAACAAATTATAACCGCACGAGAATCGTTAAACGCCTTAATAAATGAAGAATAGTTATGAAGCATTAACGAACTACTCCTCGACATCATTATAAAAGCACCCGCACATCTTCTATCAAGCACATCCTTCAAACTGAAACCAAAATATAAAGAAAAGTGGGAGATACACAGCATTCGAAAAACAAAACAATGGCCAGATCCGCCATTGCCTTTCCCGCGCTCCTACTCGCGTTCTTCGTCCTGCTCGAGCTGGGACTCGCCAAACAGGCCCGCGAACCGGCGCCGGGCTACGACAGCTCCATCGAGCCGTGTCTCAAGAACATGACCGAAGAATGCGGAATCGAGGTCTTTCAGAACATCTTTCACAAGGGCCCCGAGATCACCGACTCTTGCTGCGGCGTCCTGCTGAAGTTTGGTCACCCTTGTCACTCCGAGCTTATCGAGATCGTCCTCAGCACCGGTAAATTCGCGACCCGCGAAGCGGAGATCTTGCAAAAGAGCACGGCCGCATGGAAGCGTTGTCGTTCGATCGTTGAAGGACACTGATATAATCTTTCGGCTATGATGGTTTGACTATCTTACACATTGTTAATTTGTGGAGATGGTGATAGGGAGAGGACTTGTTATCCCTTCTCTGTTGAAGGTGTATTTTACATGCTAAATAATATACTTGTTTTTTTTGGTCGAAGTGCTAAATAATATACTTGATATTGAACTTTTTTGAGTAATGTATTTTTTGCTTATATGGACTAGAATCCATTGAAGCGCAAAGTTACCCATATTGGCTCATGCCTGTGTAAGTTTACATATATATGATACATGTCGTATGCTTGATCATCAAATAACGTGAAAAAGTTAAAATATAAAAAGGGAAAAGAAGAGTGATCGAGTTCATGATTTTAATTGCTTTTTTCTATTTTTTTTTATCTAAACTTGTCAATTCAAATGAATTCAATGACAGATCCTTTATAATGGCCGAAGGGTACTAAAGTTTTGTCATAGATAAGGCTTGAGAATTTAGCTGGGGGTGATTTTCATACATGCTAAAAGTGCAAAGGCAAAATAGTCCAACCGAGATCATCTTTCGATACGATTTGTTAAACCATTTAAACGATAACGGCATTATTCGTCTTCGATTTTCTATCCAATGCTTGATGTCATTCCTAAACGCTCGATTATTGTTTGATTAGGTTCCTGAAATTTCATTCAATGCACAAATGCCTTCCCTAAACTTTCAATCGATCTAATTTCATCTCTAACTAAGTTCTCCATATATTTTACCAACACATATGTCGCTGTTCTTATTCTTTTACGAATTTTTGCTATCGATGAGTGTGAGATAGATGAAAATGTCTATTTAAAGTGCTCGAGTGAAGATTTTTTTTATTTATTTAAAGGGAAACGTACATGTAGAGAAGGACCACGTGCTCTTTCTGTAACATGAGTGAATTTTTGCACGTACGAAATTCACATGCATAATTCTCTCTGATTTCTATGTTAGTTTTACTAAATTGTTGTCCTTCTTAACAAATTTTGTTAGCACTGAATATTAGAAAATGGTGAACATTTTAAAGTGGCAAGCTTTTGCATGTTTTACAATCGAGTTCCTAAACATTTTTTTTTGTTAAATTAAGTTCCAACGTGTCTCAATTAACGTGACATCATTTTAAGATACCACACTGGATGCTATAGTGGATATTTAGGCTCCGTTCGTTTGGCGGAAAATGTTTTCCAGGAAAATTTTCCAGGAAAATATTTTCTGGATTTTCCAGTGTTCGGGGGGCAGAAAATAACTTCCCATGGAAAATATTTTCCCTCCCATGGGCAATTTTGCCTTCACTTTGGGAGAAAATGATTTTCTCTTTGTTCCGTGGGAGAGGAAGTTGATCGCCGGTCGCCGCCGTCGGCCGTCGGTCGCCGCCGTCGGCCGTCGGTCGCCGCCGCCGGCGTCCGCCGCGCCGGCCGTGTGGTCGCGCCGCCCGATCGGACGGCCGCTGTCGTCGTCGCGATCGCCGCCACCGGTTGTCGGTCGCCGGTCCACTTTGTTGATCGTCGGCCGGCCGCCACTGTCGTCGCCGCCACCGCCGGTCGGCAGTCGCCGGTCCACCGCCGCCGGTCGTTAGTCGCCGCCGGTCGTCGGTCGCCGTCGGTCGTCGGCCGCCGCCGGTTACCCGGCCGTCGATCGTCGGTCACCGCCGATCGCTGCCCGCTGCCTCCGACCGCCGCCGGTTGCCGATCGCCGCCGCCGGTCGCCGGACGCCGCCGGATCGGTGGTCGCCGAACACCAGAAAATATTTTCCGAAACTTTTTCAGATTTTAGCCGAACACCAGAAAATTGTGTTCCAGGAAAACATTTTTCAGGAAAATGACTTCCGGGAAAATATTTTCCAAATATTTTCCGCCAAACGAATGGAGCTTAATGGCTATTTATTGGCGTTAGTGTCCACATTTAATGGCTATTTAATGGCGTTCGTGATTTTAACGGGGCTTCACATTGATCGACTATTGAAAAGTTGATGTATTTAATCGAAAAAAAAAGTTTAGGTACTTCATTGTAAGACCAGAAAAATTCACGTACTTGCGATGGCATTACTCCAATATTTATAATATGTTGTGGTCTTAATTGAATCAGTTGAAAGTTTCGAGAGATGGGAAAACTATCTATAGTGATTTGAAGATAACAAAATAATCAAAGGTTACAAATGTGTGCATTCTTGGTGGAGCAACATTTTATATATGCACAAGTGATATGCGGATCGTGTCCCAACAATATCGTCAAAAGCTAGGATTGCTCTACCTCTAACAGGGATAAATACGATATCAGGCACAGAAGGTGTTTGAAAGTTGGATGGACCAGAGTAGAGGGTGAAAAGGTCGTAGAACGGGGAAGTTCGTGCATACTCGGATGAACAGCAAAACGGTGAACAGCTGAGTAGAACTAGAATCGCCAAAACCACTTGGAAGGACAGAAGGATAGATGGTGACCAATCATTTTCGGTAAGAAGCGTGAAAGAACTAGAAGGACCGCTAGTAGAAGGAGTTCCTGCTATAGACGAGGTGGAAGACGTTTGACGTGCTTTCTGCTACCTAAATAAGAAGAACCGGACCTCTTTTGAGTTGATTTAAATTTAAATCAGAGGTTAATTACTAGCTTTCGGGTCCAGAGGTCCAAAGAATTTAACCCAAAGAAAATCATAGCAGCACTTCCCCTTTTGTGCAAGCATTCAGAGAGTTAGACACCGGACAGAAGTAAAGCCTTTAATGATGGTAACCTCCATTTTAACTCGGCAATGGCAGACTGATTGTGCAGTCCGTAGACCGGCTAAGGAGATGTTCGTGTCCAACGGACCTTTTGACCTAGTTAGGACTTCCCAACGGCCAGATCAAGGCTTGGAAGTTTATAAAAGGGACTCAAAGATTGCTAAGGACAACGGCGGAAATTGGAAAGCTTCTACTCTCTATCGCCTTGAATGAGATAATGAAACGAATAATCCATAAATTTTGATCTAACGTGCAATGTGATCCCTGAACTTCTAATTTGTTCAATGTGGTCCCTCAACTTTTGATTTGTTCAATATGATCCATCGATTTTTAATACATGTTCAATGTAGTCCCCGGATTATATATTGTCCTTCAATTTATTCAAGATTAGGGATAACATTGAACATTTTCATAAAATTTGAATTCTAAATTGAACATGTACCAAAAGTTCAGGGATCATATTGAACAAATTAAAAGTTGATCACATTGCACATTGGGCCAAAATTTAAGGGCCATCTGTGTCGTTTTCCCCCTTGAATTTTGTCGTACTTCTAAGTGTGATTACTGCTTATATTCTGATTTAGATTATTTGAAACGGAAGGGTCGTTGAGCTTTATGATCTGTAAACAGAGGGTGTTAATAGTGATAGACGTGCTTGTGTTTTTGTAGGGCTATCTACTAGCTTCAAGTCTACTCTCTTTTAACCTCTTGAAGATTACTAGTAAATTCAGCACCTGCTACCATCTTTAACCTCTTGAAGATTACTAGTAAATTCCAGTATGATTCTCGATTGTTAGTTCGAGAGAGTGGATGTAAGTTTTGTTATAAGCCGAACCACTCTGCTTGCAATTTTTTTTTATCTTTTTATCTCATTGATTTATCTATTTGTATAAGTACCGATATTTGTTTAATTGGTTCTGCATCTACTAAAGCATACTCGCAAGCATTCCGCGAAAAAAGTTCAAATTTACTTAAAACAATCTACTCATGCCCCTCTAAGTTGTTGTGCTAGCCTTAACAATTGCAACGTTGAATAGAAGTTTAGAAATCGCACATTTGACAAAAGTCGATGGGCTAATAGTATCATTATCCCACATGAAAATGGCCTTCACCAGATACGAGCTGCTTATAGTTAAACGATATCGCTTAAACCTCCATGAAAACGGAGATGCAGTTATAAGATAAGCCGATGACAATTTTTACTTCTTAAATTATAATATCGGCCTTCTAGATAACAGAAGGGATTGTTTTCTTTTGAAGTTCCGCAGAAAAGTTTTAGAGGTTGAAATGCGTCATTGAATTCGCCTTTATAAGTGCTTGATGTTTTTATTTTCTTGACATGTCCATGTGATAAAAAGCAAGAACGCCATTAGGGTTTTAATTAAGGGTTGATACCACGAAAAATCCTAAACCTGGTACACTTGTTATAATTTTACCCCAAACTATTTTTTGACCATAAAAAACCCCAAATTGGTACACTTGTGACAAATCTACCCCGAACTATTTTTTGACCACAAAAACCCTAAAGAATATACACGTGATAATTTTACCATGAACTAATTTTTAATATTATTTTTTATTTTTCGAATTTTTTATTAATTTTTTATTTTTCTTTACTTTTTTTTTCTTTTCTCTTCAACCTCTAGCGGTCGCCGACCGCGGCACCAGAGTGGAAGCCTGAGTCGGCCCGCCTGTGGCGAGGCCGGCTCGCCGCGGCGAGTCGGGCTCGACCTCGCCCGCAGGGTCGAGCCTCGGCCCTGCAACTCGCCCCGCACCAGCGGCGAGGCTCGACCTCGCGTGCGTGGCTGCGATGTTTTTCTTTTCTTGACATGTGCATGTGATAAAAAGTAAGAACGCCATTAGGGTTTTAATTAATGAGGTAAACTGAAGATTTCATTCGGACTAAGGATCACCGCCAAGTCGGCGCGTGCGCGCCACCTGCGGTCGAGCTCGCCGCGAGTCGCGCTCGGCCTTCGGCCGACTCTAAGCCGGCGAGGCGAGCCTCGCTGGCGCGGCGACCTCGGCTCGGCCTCGGCCGATCGCTGGTCCGGCGACCGGCCGAGGTTGAAAAGAAAAGAAAAGAAAAAGTAAAGAAAAAAAATTAATAAAAAATTCGAAAAATAAAAATAATATTAAAAAATTAGTTCGGTAAAATTGTCACAGTATATCGTTTGGGGTTTTGGTGGTCAAAAAATAGTTGGGGTAGATTTGTCACAAATGTATTTGGGGTTTTTTATGGTAAAAAATAATTTGGGGTAAAATTGTCATAAAGTGTACCGGGTTAGTTTTTCGTGGTATTAACCCTTTAATTAATGAGGTAAACTGAAGATTAAACTGAAGATTTCATTCGGACTAAGGATCACGAACAATGATGAAACTCGCAAGATTCGCCATAATTTGTAACTTGCTATCCTCTTG